CCTGTGTTAGACTGTTTGCCTCCAGGCAGTACTTGTCTCCTTTCAATGCTTCATCATTAAAAGTTACAGGAATAATATTGTTATTACCTCAGGAGTTCTTAAGCTTAAAACTGATCCCAATGATACAATGTGTACTTTTGGTTTTGTCTGAAAGACAAATGCCTTGGAATTTTGCCCCTTCCTTCTCCCTCTATTTTCCTTAAATTGTAAATATTATTTAAACAGTACATTTCCAACTCTACACCATTAGAGTCTTAGTAGTGTTCTTTTTTGCCTTTTGTTATAACTCTAACCCAGGGGTCCTCAAACTAAGGCCCGAGGGCCGAATACGGCCCTCCAACATTATTTACCTGGCCCTCGCTCAGGGTCAACCTACGTCTGAAACGACTTGAAAGCACTCAACAACAACAACAATTATTTATTATTTATTTATTTCGGTTACTTCTACCCCGCCCTTCTCACCCCCAAGGGGACTCAGGGCGACTTACAAAGGCACAATTCGATGCCAGCATCACATAACAGTAGTAAACAAATAGCAGCAATTAACAATTAAACAACAGTTCCTGCATTACAACAATAAAACCAATAAAACCAATACAAATCCAATTACTCCTCATTGACGGTCAGCRTTCGCTATCTCATAGTCCAAATTCCAATTCCACATTGTCAGTCCTGTCAGTCCTAATTGTCTGATTGTCCTTATCTAGTTGTCAGATTGYYCAAAGGCCTGGTCYCACAACCAYGTCTTTACTTTCCTCCTGAAGGAGAGGAGGGATGTTGATGCCCTAATTTCCCCCGGGAGTGAGTTCCAYAGGTGAGGGGCCACYACTGAGAAGGCCCTGCTCCTTGTCCCCACCAACCTYACTTGTGATAGYGGTGGGGTYGAGAGCAGGGCCTCCSCAGATGATCTCAAACTCCGGGGTGGGACRTAGAGGGAKATRCRTTYGGACAGATACACTGGACCGGAACCATATAGGGTTTTGTAGGTCAAAACCAGCACCTTGAATTGTGCTCGGAACTGAACYGGCAGCCAGTGGAGCTGACACAGCAGTGGGGTGGTTTGCTCCCTGTATGATGCTCCAGTGAGCAATCTGGCTGCTGCTCGCTGGACCAGTTGAAGTTTCCTAACAGTCTTCAAGGGCAACCCCACATAGAGTGTGTTGCAGTAGTCTATTCGGGATGTAACAAGAGCGTGGACCACTGTGGCCAGATCAGACTTCCCAACAATCCTACAAATAAGATATGTGCAGTGTGCATAGGAATTCATTCATGTTTTTTTTTTCAAATTATAATCCGGCCCTCCAACAGTTTGAGGGACTGTGACCTGGCCCTCTGTTTAAAAAGTTTTGAGGACCCCTGCTCTAACCCTTCCAACCACCTTCTTCTTTGCCACAATCTAGTTTTGAAACAGATATTTTTGACCTACAACTCCTATCAACTCTAATCAGTCCATGTTGAGGGTTGATGGAGGTTTGTAGTCCAAGAAGTAGTTCTAATTCTCTGGAGCATGAAGGTTCATCTGCATCAGTGGTTCCCAACGTGTGGTCCATGGACCACCGGTGGTCCCCAAGAACAAAAATATGGTCTGTAGTCTCGCCATTACTACACTGTTGCTTCAAAACCACACAGCAAAGAGAGTGACTGGTTTTGCAAAATCCTCTTTTTAGTGCTGAGGCAATGGGGATGTTGGGAGGGGAGAGACTGACTACCCACAAGATTGGGTAGATTATTAAATATGGTTTTCTGTGGGTGAGCAGATAGAGACAACTGGATGGCATATGTTTTGTATCGGATATTAGAGCAGATGTGGTCTATCCAATGCAATTTTCTGAGTCAGCACCCCAAATAACCAAACCGAATCTAAAGTTGACCAAAAACTGATTTGTGACCCTTTTGATACTAATGTCTGAGAGTGGTCCCTGTTCAAGTGGTCCCTGGTAAAAAAAAAAAAAAAAGGTTGGGAGCCACTGATCTACATTGTCGAATGAATGCAGTGTGACACCACTTTAACTGCCATGACTTTATGCAGTGGATTCATGGGAGATGTTTTACATGATCTTTACCAAAGAGTGCTGGTGCCTCCCCAAACTACAATGTCCATGATGCTGCAGCATTGAGCAATGGCAGTTAAAGTAAAGTCAAACTGCCTTCATTTTACAGGGCAGATGCACCCTGAGTTTAAGGGAAGGAAAGGATCCAAAGTCTGTTGGAATTTTCCTCTTCCTCATCCCACCTGCCATAATTAGCGATGCTGCCAAAAATGTGAAATCAGATGGTTTTGGAAATTAAAGTTATTCCATTCAAGTGCTGAGTCTGTGTAAAACTACCAAGAGCTTGGAAATGTTCTACAGGTAAGAAGATTTGTGGAGTGGGAAAAGCACTCTTACAATGTAACAGTTCTCCTGCCCCAGTCTTCTCCATTCCAACACCCTCCAGATGCACCAGGTTAAAGTTCCCATCATCCCTAGTCAGGATAGCCTAAGTCCGGCATCTTAAGAAGAAACAGATGAAGAAGCCTGCCTGTTTTGGGACTTTAGAGGAAATCTTTCTCTGCATCTCTTTTTTCTCTTCAAGGCAGATTTTGGTAGACAATAGGAACACATTTAGAGTGGTTAAAAATCCAAACAGTTGGAGGACAATAGTGGAGCCTTCCTGGGGGGCTCTGGAATGAGTTTGGGAACCACACAAACATAGCCACTAAGCCACAGTTCCTCCACTCTTTGCCACATAGGTTTTAAAATAGAAAAGGGATTCTACATGGTGCAACATTTATGTCCTCAGGTCTATCCAGTACAAGATTGCATGAAATTACATTGACAAATAGATTGTTGTTGAATGGGCACAAGAAGGAATGACTTGAGTTTTTCTGTGTGTCCCCATATGTAAGTTAGTATATACACCATTGCCTAATTAATATATGGAAAAGCACTACATTTCTTTACAACACGCCAAAAGAATGCTCAGTTTTTCTGAGACACCCATTGAAAAGCATTAGGCTGTACACATTTCTTTTTTGAGTTAAAAGAAGGCAGGAAGAGGAGTTGTTTGGTCATGTCCGATGGTTATATAATACCTAGCGCATAATGTTCTGGCTATTTTTCAAGGTTTCTCATCTACCTCTCCCATCAGCCTGCAGGGCATTTAGTCAGCCCTTGCTAGACATGACGTGTGGTGCCAATTGCAGGCCATAGCTTTTCCGCCCCAAGCTTGAGCTATAAATTTTCCATCACTAATTTATCTGTTTTTTGAAGGCACACTTCAGTAGCTGATAAAAACTTGAAAGCCTCTTAAAGAGAGCTGTGCAAAATCACTACAGAAATATATACTGTAGACAAGCAGTCCAGGATCTGAGCACAAGGTGCCTCACTCTGGAAACACACACATACATGCACACACTTGGGCTCTTAATACTGAAGCAGCATGAGTAGTACCTACATTTTTTTTGTGCAATTCCTTGATTTTCCCTCTTGGTATCCATTATTAAACCTCTTCTATTATGTGCTCTGATAATTTTTTGTCTGACTTACTATAACACAGATTCAGCTGGTTTAGTAAGAATTGGGGAAGTCATAGGGAGGAGGGAGCAAGCTTGTTTTCTGCTGCCCTGGAGACTAAGACATGGAACAATGGCTTCAAACTACAGGAAAGGAGATTCCACCTCAACATTAGGAAGAATTTCCTAACTGTGAGAGCTGTTCAGCAGAGGAACTCTCTGCTCCAGAGTGTGGTGGAGACCCCTTCTTTGACAGAGGCTGGATGACCATCTGTCAGGAATACTTTGATTGTTCTTTATTACATGGCAGGGGGTTGGACTCGATGGTCCACAAAACCTCTTCCAACTCTATGATTCTAATGGCAAGAAAAGGAGCATCAAGGCATATTTGGAGATCACCCACACTTTGACATCACTACAATGATCTAACATGGGGTACCTTAACAGTTCCCATCCCATGTTTAAAATAGCACCTTTAGCCATTTCTGTGTGAATTGGGAGCGCTGAAAACCATTGCTTCCTGAATCCAAAACCTGAAGTAGTCTTGCATTGTATAACGGGATCCGTAGGACTTCATCTTTAAAAAGTCTTTAAAGTGTGTAGAGATGGGGGGGGGGCTGCATCTAATGAGGTCCTAAGTTATTTTAGCACTTGAGACAGAAAAAAGATTGAGTATCCTTTATCAAAAATGCCTGCGACCAGAAGTATTCTGTATATCAGTGCTTTTTTTCTCCAGATTTTTTAAATACTTGAACACATAATGAGATATCTTGGAGATGGGAGCCAGGACTTCATACAAAATTCATGTATATTTCATATATGTATGTATGTGTGTGTGTTTTTTTCAAATAAATGTGTGCATGAAACAAAGTTTGTGTGCACTGAACTATCAGAAAGCAAAGATATTACCATCTCAGCCCAGCCATGTGGACAATTCCAGAGTATTTTGGATTTCAGAATTCTGAATAAGAAAGGCACATCTGTATCCTACAAGCAGCTCACCCACAGTTTTATGACAAAGAAGCATCTTTGTTGTTTATAATTGCTCAGGTTTTATTCCAGGGGTGTGGTGCTTGTACAATTTGTTTATTTATTTCCCTTACAGCCTAGAAGCCTTGTGTTCCATGAAACTTAACCTGAAAAATTTATCTTTTGTTATTAACCCTCAGGAAGGAAAATATGCTAGCCAGCATTTGTTAAGTGATTTACTTTTTCTCCAAGGACCAGTTTACTCTCATGTCATTCTGGAGATAGTGAATCCACACTAATTTTTGTTCTAACTTTAAAATTGTTACCCAAAGTACTGAATTGTTCCAGGGATAAGATTTAGTATCTTGCACAGCTCTTCTAACAATTCAGGCTGAAACTCAAAGAGGTTTGCTATCCAACTGACAAGGAAGTTTTAACCTGTTACAGTCATTCTTTTCCTCCTCCCTGTTACCTACTGCCATGATGCTAAAATCCATTCTTGAGCAGAATGTTCATAATACGTTTCTTATTTTCATAGGATATCATTTGTTTGGAATTTCTCATTGAATGAAGCGACCCTAGGAAAAGACAGAGATCATTTCAGAAAACTTCCGTACCGAAGAATGTCAAAAGTCGTTCCCAACCACGTGTTACGAGTTGGACAAACAATATGTGTTTCATCCCAGGAAGAACATGCTTGTTTGCATCACCCTAAAGGATGCTTATCCTGTCATACTTTGCCAGCACAGTGTTTGTATTATTCAGTGGAAGGCTGGGAAAAACAGACCGCATTGACTCAAACCAATGTATCTTCACTACCCAAGAAGAACATCTATGACTCTTGTAGATGCACTCCAGAGGACATGCCTGTGGCATCTCCAAATTTGGGGGGCAATTGTGTGCAAGAAAAACCTGTAGAACCAAGCAAGGATGCCTGTCCAATCTCTCCTACATTGGATATATCAATTGAAAAGCTGAACCGCCTTATCTTGGAAATTGACCCAACATTTCAACCTCTGCAAATGAATCCAACCCAGACACAGAGTCCTGTCCAAGTTCCTCCAGTGGCTGCCCAAAAACCTGAGCCAGATTCTCCAGGTAAAGTGTTAAATGCATCAGGTCACAGGGGTCAGTCTACAGAGATTGTTAGATGTCCCAAATATTTTGTTCTTGAACCTTTCTTAAATATATTGGAATATTCATAGGATTAGTTTTCCACCCAAAAATGGCCCTCCCAAAACATGTGATTTTATATTTATCAGTGCTTAACAAGAGACCACACATGAGAATCAACAAGGATGCAGGTGTAGATCTAATTAAATGTACTATTGGATTCAGCATGTTCTCATATGTTTTTTTTTAAATATATATATAAGTTCCTGGGCTTTAAGGTTTGGAAAAAATTTCTCTCTCCTTTCCTCTCTTGTATTAATTAAAAACAAATGGTAGTGCTGAGGTAAAGAACTGTATCGCTCATAATCGCTACTCACTGGTCATGTTGAATAGGATTGGTAAGAGTTGTAAGCATTACATTTGGAGAACCAAAAGTTTCACATTATTGTCTATGTAGGACCCCAGGGAGTGGGGCAAGTGGGATTTATAGTAGGTATGAAGTGGTATTTCACCATTTTTTTGCCTTGCTCTGGAAAACAAGAGACATGATGTCTTGTTCTTAGAGAGAAAGCCCATGTGAATCCCCTAGCTCAAGCAGAAATGAGAACCAGGATCTCCCAACTCCCAGATCCTTACAACTTCAACATCACACTATGTAAGGAGGAACATTACTAGACTTTCGCAAACGCAGTTGGTGGGGACGAGAGACAGGGCCTTCTTGGCAGTGGCCCCCTGTCTGTGGCACTCTCTTCCTAAGGACATCAGGTTGGCCACTTCCCTCCTGTCCTTTAGAAGACAATTGAAGACTTGGCTTTGGAACCAGGCGTTCGATTAGTGCACAGAGGCAATTGGAATATCTGCAACATTGGATTTACCCTGACTTGGATTTGGTTTTAATTGGCATGTTTAATTTATTGTTTAATGAATTGTATAATGTGTTTTGATGATTTTTAATATTTTATATGTAATTTTTGATTGTTTATATACTGATAGCATCATATGATGCTTGTGTGAGACTGCCCTGAGTCCCCCTTCAGGGGGGAGAAGGGCGGGGTAGAAAGGCATGAAATAAATAAATAAATAAATAATCTATATATGGTGGAGCAGTTCATCAAGTGAGTCTCCACCTGTAATCTGAAATCTAGAAACAGGCTTGCCACCTCATCTGTTGTTTAGGACAACTAGAGATAAGACGATACATCCCAAATCATCTTGTTCCAGTTTCTGAGGACTGTTGTTAGTTAATTTCCACAGTCTTGGTTAGCTCCACATGACTGTGCCTTCTATAACACCTGACTGACTTGTCCAGATAGTAATGGCTTAGATATACCAGCGGATTAGATGCAATATGACACCGCTATGTGTGTGTGCTCACTTACCTCCTCACGCACACATATACGCACATGCTTTCATTCATGCAGTTGTCATGGCTGGGTCTGGAGGCAGGGGAGCTTGTATAGACAAGCCTACTTACTCATTCTAAAACTCCAGAGATGCCTCAAAGGGTGTTCCATGTGGCTTATGCCAAAGGCAATAAAGGATTATTTGTTTTCCCTCCCCAATCCTACTCTCCCCCTCCCCATAGTCTTTGAACTATGGCAGCCAGGCATGTCACTAAATTAAAAGAAAAATAAATTGCAGCTCTGTGGGGCCAGCCTAAATCATTTTGCTGCCCAAGGCAAAGAGCCCCACTTGCTGTCTGTGATAACTGGATTTTTTAAAATGAGATAGGACCCTTTACCACAATAAAGGGCTGCAGGTTAGTTGAGGGTGTGTAAAAGAGGGTGGGTGGGTCATATAGCTCTTTTCTACAAGCCAGTGCGAGAAAAGTCCAAGGGGTCTGGAGGACTAGTGGTTGTGCCACTGCTGTTCTCTATGATCTGCTTCCTGAAACAATTGCCTTGCTCTGCCATGCTCTAATTCTAGGCAATTGCCTTGCTCTAATTCTAGGCAACTCCACATCTCTCCCCACTCCCTCTCTTATATTAATATAAGGAGCCCCCGGTGGTGTAGTGGGTTAAACCCCTGTGCCGGCAGGACTAAAGATGGACAGATCGCAGGTTCGAATCCGGGGAGAGCGCGGATGAGCTCCCTCTATCAGCTCCAACTCCTCATGTGGGGACACGAGAGAAGCCTCCCACAAGGATGATAAAACATCAAAACATCTGGGCGTCCCATGGGCAACGTCCTTGCAGACGGCCAATTCTCTCACACCAGAAGCGACTTGCAGTTTCTCAAGTTGCTCCTGACACGACTCTCTCTCTCTCTCGCTCTCTCTATACACACACACACACACACACACACACACACACTTGCAGATACCAATATTCTGATATGCCCAATCTTATCTGTAATCAGAATGTAACTGATATTTTTCCTGGATTTTTCACTTGGCAATGTGGAGAAAACAGAGCCACCAGAAAACCTTCTATAAAGAATCATTGGGCTAGATCTGGACTTCGTCAAACTTAGACTTACAGACTCATGGTTATAATGAACAATAGTAGCTACTAAAACATAGGTAGTGTGTTCTAAATATAAGATAGGTAGCTTGACACAGTGTTTTGAAGGTTAGGAATTCCAGGAGATCAGGGTTCAAAGCCACATTCAGCCATGAAACCCCACTGAATGATCTTCAGCAAATCATGCTGTCTCAGCCTCTGAATAAATCTTACCCCCCAAAAAATCCTCTTTAGTGGGGTCACTATAATCTGCGTCATCTTAAACACACGTGACAACTCTGTGTTTATCTAGTTCCAGCCTAAAGAGTCGGAAGGGTATTGTAAAATATCTAATTCAAACCTGCAACCAGTGAAGGAAAGAGCTGGAGTGTCATTCCTAATAGATAACTTTATCATCTCCTTGATGCTTTCAGTGATAGTCCCCAAACTCTCTGGGTAACTAGTTCCATTGTTGGACTGTTCTTACCACTGAGGTTTTTCTCCTAATATTCATATGAGGTGGGAATGGTTATACAAGATTAAGGAAACCTGCTTAAGTCCTTTCTTGCAAAGGAGGATTCATTGTTGTACTTGATTGTTCCTCCTATTTCTAACTTATGGCAACCCTAAGGCAAAGCTATCATTGGGTTACTTGACAGAATGTGTACAGAAGGGCTATGATACATAGGGTCCCTTTTATTACAACTTCCCTTTCCATGTGTGTATTTCTATAGCAAATGAAATGTATCTCAGGGAAAGTCAGCATGAGATCATTGCCTTGCTGCAGTCAAAACAGCTCTGAGGTGGGGCCTTGCGCAAGCTCTGCATACTTGCCTCCAGATGTTTTTCATCTGGAGTCAGGTAGAGGCAAGAAGAGGAAAGCACTGAAGTGTGCATCCCCACCCTCTCATGCAGGTGCCAACAAGCAGTGCACTCAGTGATACAATGAGCAGTGAGATGACTCTCCAGAACACAAGCCTTGCTTTGGCAGAGCTGTTTGCTTTCTTGACCTAGGGAGGTGGTCCACTATAGCAGGAAAAGAAAAAAAATCCTGAAATCAAAGCAGTAGCTCTTAACTTAGATGCACACATACTGAATCCCACACATTTCTGTTAAGAAATCAGTGAGTGCACTCCCTGGTCATGTAGAAATACACAATCAAAGCACTCCCCACAGGGGAGCATCCAGCCTCTGTCCAAAAACCACCAGAGATGAAGACTCCACCACACTCTAATGTTGAGATGGAATCTCTTTTCTTATACAGGCAGTCCCCAAGTTACAAACAAGATAGGTCATTTGTATGTAAGTCAAATCAGGTAGATTGTGTGTGTGTGTGTGTGTGTGTATGCTTTGAATAGTATAGGGAAGGGTGAACATCCCTGTGGTGTTTGTTTTGCTGTCTGTGCCCCTGTTCAGAAGATTTCACCTCACTTGCTGTCTGTGATAATTGGATTTTTTTAAAAACTATAACTTATATATCTGTAAGTACAAGCAGTCCTCAAATTATGAACAACATAGATTCTATAGGCTTGTTCTTAAGTTGAATTTGTATGTAAGTTGGAACATGTGCATTTTTAGTGTGTGTGTGTATTTTATACACATGCGCGCGCAGACACACACACACATATATATGTATGTATGTAGTATGTACGTATGTAATGTTCATTTGTGGGATTAACATAACTCAAAAACCACTGGATGAATTTACTCCAAATTTGGGCACAATACACCTATGAGGCCAACGAGTGACTATCACTCATAAAAATACTGAAAAACACTGTGGAAGAGACTTAAAAAGCCACAAAAAAAATACAACGCATGCGCAAAACCACATACTCACACAGAGAAAACACATATACACAGACTGGGCTACAACAATGCGTGGCAAGGGAAGTGGGTGTGTGTGTGTAATGTTCGCTTGTGGGATTAACATAAACTCAAAAACCACTGGATGAATTTACTCCAAATTTGGGCACAATACACCTATGAGGCCAACGAGTGACTATCACTCATAAAAATACTGAAAAACACTGTGGAAGAGACTTAAAAAGCCACAAAAAAATACAACGCTTGTGCAAAACCACATACTCACACAGAGAAAACACATATACACAGACTGGGCCACAACAATGCATGGGAAGGTGTGTGTGTGTGTGTGTGTGTGTGTATCTTCAGATAGCATACGGAATGGTGCATAGGGAATGGTGAACACCCCTGTGGTGTTTGTTTTGCTATCTGTCCATGTGATAATTGAATTTTGAAAAATTTGGCTTGTTGTGGAAACCAGGATTCGTGATAAAGCTTCCATGAAGACACCTTTCCCCCCAAGATAACTCTTTCAGGAGTGAATTTTCCTTCCGAGGCGTAGATTTCTCTCACTTCCTGTTGTCTCACCCCTATTCTTAACTATGAGTTGTTTGTAAGTCAAATGTTTATAACTCAGGGACTGTGTAGTTCGAATCAATTGCTCTACATCTTAGAGTGGTTCTACATAAAAAGCGTCCTGACAATCCAGGGGTTCTGAAAGCAATTTAACACCACTGGAAGACTAGACTACCATTCCCATTCCCCTTCTGCTCTCATCATAGTACATCGCTTAGACTGATGTCATAAGAAAGTGTGGTATTTTAGAAGAAATAGAACCAAAGGTTAGCCTTTGTTGAGTTTTGACTGACCTTCTATATTGTTGTGTATGTGTATATCTAGGTGCGTCTACAGTCTAGAACAGGCATCCTCAAACTAAGGCCCTCCAGCTGTCTGGGCCTTCACCTCCCAGAATTCCTGACAACAAGCTCATTAGGGTTTCTGGGAGCTAGAAGCTCAAAAAGCTGGAGGGCCACAATTTGAGGTTGCCTGGTCTAGAATTAATGCAATTTGACAGCATATTAACTACTTAATGCTACAGAATCATGGGAGGTGTAGTTAGCTGATTCTCTAGCACTCTAGCACTCTTTGGCAGAGACTGCTAAAGATCTTGTAAAGCTACAAGTCTTATGATATCATGCATTGAATCATCTTAGTTAAATTGGTGTCAAACTGTATTAATTCTACAGTGTATATGCACCCTTAGTGCAAGCTGACACACCAGCCCTCTTTCTCATCTTTCTCCACTTTAGCTGCAGGGGGTGACTTGCCTTCAGGAAAATGTTCTCCTAAATATTGTCTTGTGTTTGTTTCTTTTTACCAGAAATAAAGTATATTGAAATGTCTCCGGCTATAACAAAGGCTCCGGAATCTTGCCAGAATCCCACCAGTTCTTCTAGCACTCTGCTCTCCACATCTTCGCTGAACAACAGAAATTTGTTTCCTTGTGGAAGGATCCAGGGAGACACTGTTGATGGCAACAGCCACATCGCTTTCCAGGGTGGCCGTGATTCTGGAGGTGGTCCTCAGCATCTCCCACCAACAGGGAGGCAGTCACCAGCTTGTATCCAAATGTCTGAAAGCATCTGCATTCCACAGGGGAACCCAAACCACTGTATCGCCTATGGGTCCAATTCCCACTTGGCTTCCTCCCCAGGCGCTGAGAATTTGTTGAAGTTGTCCCAGCATGGGAGAATGATGCAGCGGTGCAGCGGGACTTCTGTGCTTTCAGCAAGCCCTGGATCAGACACTAGTTACATTTTTGGAAGGTACCATTGATGTTTGTATACTAACAGCAATTCATCTTGCAAGTGTCAATGGTCTAAGAGACAAAATGACACCGTCCATATACAATACTGAGGGGGACCGCAAACATTTCAGATTCCTAAAGATCTGGGGGAGCGGGGGAGAGACACAGCTGGCTGTTCTATATTATGTGCCAAATCATGTATGCAGTAACATTTTTCTCTTTGAGGATCCTATTTGTCTCCTGTTAATTCTCACTTCTTATGGTGGAATGGTCTATATACCGCAAGAGCCATATAAGCAGGCATCTTTATTTATTTATTTTTGATATTTGTACCCTGCCCTTCTCAACTTCCTGGGGGGGACTCAGGGCAGCTTCCAATTGGCAGCAATTCTATGCCTCAATATATACATAATAAAAACAGTCAACAGTTATAAATAGTTAAAAACATTAAAACAATACAATTAAAATATACTAAGAATTACCACTCTGGTGGCCATTATTAGCCGAAAACTGTGGTTGGATGCTCCATCAAACTTATCGATAATCCATTTCCAAGCCATTGTCACCACTACCTCTGAGGATGCTTGCCATAGATTCAGGCGAAACGTCAGGACAGAATGCCTCTAGACCATAGCCATATAGCCCGAAAAAATCCACAACAACCCATTGTCAACATTGTTATTTGCCTAGGTAAGGAAGTTTCTCAGGACACATCTATAAGAGACACTTAATGCAGGGCTGAGCCACAGTAGTAGTATTCCGGATCAGCCCCAAGAGGAGCTACACTGGCCATCTCCATCTCACTGCAGCATCAGGACAGTATCTAAACCAGGCAATTGGGACTAATCCTATTCAACCCCATCAATGTACCTGTGTCATTTCTTTTTCACTTTAGTGCTGGCTCTCAAGAGCTCTTGGCCATCACTTGGCACTTTTGACAATGTCATGAAAAGTGCTTTCACAACACAGAGAAGAGAAGGAGATACATCTGATATTTTTTTAATGGTTCTGCAAACCTCAGAGCTCTCCTAGTTTCCTGTTTCTGTGTGGGTTTTACACAAACCATGACAAGTTAGGGAGAAAATGGAGGAGTGAATGGGAGAACATAGCAGCACAATTATCCCTGAGGACATCTTGCCAAGGACTCCTCAGATGGGTCAGTGATGGAATAGTGGTGGAAGGAAGATGGTAATGCCACAGGAAAATGAGGTGTCACAAGGCTGTGACTATTCCCATTCCTTGTCTGAGGAAAGATAGCATGGAACCAATTTCATTAGCTGCTGCTTGCCACACACTTAAGTACTCATAAAGATGTTTAAGCTTCCTTCACCCATCACTATGACTAAATAATTCATCATCACTTTTACATAACAAAAATTGGGGAAATTCCAAATGTCAATCCTGGTTATTCCACAAAGGCACCAGATATAGATAGCTCATGTGGAATTACAATAGAAAAAATAATTGCAAACAGGAGGGGGGATTATCAATCTTCAGAGGAAATCCACCTATTTTTATTCCTTCCTCTTCCAAATCAAAGGGAGGACAGTTGTCTCTCCAAATTTGCAACTCTAATTTTGTGGATTTCATTGATATGTTCTCTCTAGGAATCTTTAGTACATCTAGCATGACTCTATGCTTAGTTGACCAGTATTGTACTGGAGGACCTAGAGATTCCTAGCAGAAATACTTTTCTAGAAATTTGTAAGTCTTCCAGCACAAGTCTATGGACACTTTCTGGGTGACTACAGAGTCACGCTGGAGAATTTAGAAATTCTTAGGGTCCTTCCACATAGCCCTATATCCCAGAATATCAAGGCAGAAAATCCCACAATATCTACTTTGAACTGGGTTATCTGAGTCCACATTCAGATAAATGTGGGATTTTCTCCCTTGATATTCTGGGTTATAGGGCTGTGTGTAAGGGTGTTCTCTAGACCAAAAAAAAAACTTTTTATTTACATTTTTTTCTAGTTTCAGAGGGTCCTGCATCCCTAATCCCTGTGAAAGTGAAGGGACTATTGTATACCAAAAGGAAGGTTTATGGCTTTCAGGTTACTTTGGGGATTGTGGGTGTTGAACCAGATGGCACAAGAATGGTCTTCCTCACTTTGCATTATTTGGATAGCATCCAATCTATATAAATAAAAATGTAATGTTTGTTTGTAAGGTTAACATAACTCAAAAACCACGGTATGAATTGACACCAAATTTGGGCACAATACACCTATCAGGCAAATGAGTGACTATTACTCATAAAAACACAGAAAAACACAGCAGAAGAGACTTTAAAAACCAAATAATAAAAATACATTACAACGCATGTGCAAAACCACATACATACACAAGCACACACACACACACAAATATACACACACATATAAACAATATATACACACACAAAACACATATACACAGACTGGGCCACAGCAAAGCATGGCAGGGTATGGCTAGTTTGATATATAAATGTTATCTAAACAGAATTATTGAATCATTGAGGCTGACCCTGTATGAAAATATTTAGTACTATGTGAGTGTGTATTGTTATATGAATATTTAGTAATAATAACCAAAGTAGTAATGTATTAATTTCCCTTAATTCTGCTATATCTACTTTCTCCTTTGCAGCAGCACACAGTCACTTTCCAGCAATGAACCAGACGGTCCTCGGATCAGGTCAACAGGAAGCCCTTCCTCTGTTGGCTCCCTCTGTGGGTCTCCTGTTGGCTCCATTGGCTCAAGTTGTTACTACTCTGGCTCCTCTAGTTCCCAGAAAGGAAATTCTTCCTTACCACAGCTATATCAAAAGGGACAGGTTAATGGTTGTTCTCCTTCACCCACTGCAAACTCCTCTCCCACCATCCCAATTGTGCTCATCAATGGTCGTCCAGACGATAGTGAGATATCTCCCAGATCTTGCAAGATTCACGGAGGTTCTTTCAAACTGAAGATGACACAGCCTAGTTCTGGCACGTTTTCAAGCATCAATCGTTCCAACAAATCCTCTTCAGAGAGTTCTTTCTCCTCCTCTTCATCTTTGGATAGTAAGTCATCCCAATAGCCAATCCATTGTCGATTTAATTCAAGTTGACACCACTTTAACTGCTATATATCAAAGCACATTAATTCAAGAGTGTAGATGCAACTTAGAGATCTCTAGTTCAACCAGGGAGACTTTATGGTTAGCTTCCAACCAATGTTATTTATTTATTTACGACATTTATATCCCACCCTTCTCACCCCAAAGGGGACTCAGAGTGGCTTACAAGTTGTATGTACATACAATATAGTGTATTGTATTGTTGGACACAGAGTCATGCTGGAAGACAAAGATTTGAAGAGAAATGTTCTTCCATGTTAAAAAAAAATGCCTCCTCTCCTGCCCCCAAGTTTTTTTACTTTCACATGAGTCCTGCACCTGTAAATCTTCCAAAGGTAGAGTGTCTGCTATATTTTAAAAATAACTTTCAAAATTTGGTTAAACAAATTGTTTCAACAAAGAAAACAATTCTCTCAAAAATTTCTCAAATTCTTCTGGTCATCTTTCTTGGTAACATATTTGATTATATTATATCCTATTCTCTTCTGCAGGCTATTCCAAAGAAGCCCAAACAGCCATGAAGTTTGTGATGGACACCTCCAAATATTGGTTTAAACCAAGCATCACACGAGAGCAAGGTAAAATAAAGCACAAGGGCCAATGAGAAGGAAAGGTGGGAGCAGTCAATCTAACATAGGAATCTAATGTATCATGCCTAACATGCTTAGCCAGAATGCTTAGAAAACAGTAGTTTCTTCTCAAATGAATGAGCTGCGTGAACTTCTACTTTGGTTCTAGGTACTGGGGAGAGGCTATGCTCTTGTTTTCCATTTTTGAAATGTTAGTTTATTCAAACTGCAGTTTGGTAACAAGATGGCATCAAACCATAATCAGTGTCCAGCATAATGGGGCTAATAACAAGGCCTACAGGTCTTGTGTGGGGGCACATCGGGCAGTTGGTTGATCTTCAGCTTCACTTTCAATCAAAAAATTTACTAGGAAGGCAAGTTAGTGGTGCTGATCTTGGTCCTATAAAGCAAAATGGCAGTTACCATTGGGTTGGTCCTTCCTTGAGGAAAGATGACTGTGGAAGAGTAGCAAAGAGCATTCCATCACTTCTAGAAAGGGCTCCATCACTGCCATTTCTCAAAGAAGCAAAAGAAAACCCATCTACTATTCCCACAAAGCATACAGAAGGCAAGGGTTTTGGGTAGATGAGTTGGCTGCAAAGACCAACCGGAAGGCAGTTATCCAGCATGCAGCCAAGATAAAATATATGTCACTTGGAAGAGACGCTTGGCTTTCCATGCCCAGGAGCCAGTTCGGAAAAGGACAGCTAGTGCTGGCAAAGCTTGCACTGCTGGGAATTCTTTGGCCTTCAAGATGATTTGGACTCACCTTCCCATAATGTCTTATCATTGGCCAGCCTAGCTGAAACTTCTGAGAGTTGAACTTCAACAGATTCAAAGAGTGAAAGATTGCCTGCTCCTAAAATAAATATAGGTACTATTGCTGGGTATATCTGTTTTCTTGTCAGGGCCTACTGTTCAAACAAATAATTGCTCTCAACATATCGGAGATCCTGTATGGTATTCTCTGGTTCTTCTGCTGTGAGTTGGCAAGATTAGGAAAGTCTCTCTTTTTGCAATCTTTTAATTTCTGCAAACTGGGGAATAATAGAATATCTTACAGCAGGGCATGACAATTCATTTATCTGCTCCCTCCAGTATTTAGTGGTGGCCACTGAATTTGACACCATAGTGGCAATGAATAAATTGATATGAAATTAAATCAACAAATATTATTACTTTGGTAGCTATTCTTTATACAATACCCCACTTCTTCCTTATTGTGATCTTTTGTTTATTGTGTGTTTTTACACAGCTGTCCAACTACTGATGGATGCACCCCCAGGTTCTTTCATCGTGAGGGATAGTACGTCTTACCGTGGCTCATTTGGCTTAGCCATGAAAGTCTGCAGTAGCAAACCAGGTACAAAGAAATCCTTTTGTGTGAACAGGAAGCTAACTTGGTCAAACCATTTATTTTCCGAGACATGTTGGAAATCAAACCATAAAGACAACTTGTCTCACATTTCCTAGTCTCTATATTGATGAGACATAAAACAGATAGGATGAACATGGAAGTAGATCAGAATGCACTGAGCTTTACCCAACCACCGAGTAGTTGGAAGACACTTTTAAAAATTAAAATTGGAGGAAGACACATTTTAATCCTAAAATTGAAAAGTTATTATTTAGTTGCTCAAAAGATCCCACTCCCTACATATTTCTGTAGGGATGTAAATCTTCATGCTTCTTGGCCTTGCATGCAAGGACATTTTTCCCTGTTTCCAGAGGAAAATAAAAATTTCTGTCCGCCTCTTAGCTTTTTGTAAAGTTTTCTGGGAAGTAATTCTGTGCATCAATGAACATGGTTTTTCTGTGTAGAGAAACATATTTTTGAACAGAAGTATATGTGGTGAAACCATTTTTTTCTGTCTAGAAAAAGTGTATTACAAATGGGAAAAATTATTTATTGATTTATTTACCGTATTTATATACCGCCCCTCTCAGCCTGGAGGTGACTCGAAACATGTATTAGTACCCCAGAAGACTTCCTCAAAAGTGAATGATACTCTTTTCTTCCTGGGGCTTCCCAAATGTTGAAAAAGCCACCAATGAGCTGGGAAACAAAGAGAAACTAATATTCTTTCTACCCCAACATCTTAATAAAACAAGTTTGGAGCAACTCATTCACATCCAGATCAGTGACTAATGCAGAGAAGCACCGGGTGGCATCCCTTCAGGCTGTATGATTCTTTAGAGTCTCAACGTAAGTAGTGGTTGAATGACTCAACCATCATTGACTCAGCCATCATTGATGCAAAGAGACTCCAGGCAGATTTCCCATACACTTTGAGCAACAGCATCCTGTAATTATTTCATTTATTTCTCATTGACTACTAGCCCTTTCCTCATGACATACAAAGAATTCCTGGAAATTACCAAAGATATCTATCATTTATTAAGTACATTGACTTAATTTGTTTAATTTGTTTTGTGACTGAGCTCTTAACTTAAAATGCTCTTATCTCAAAGCAAATTTCCCATTGAAATGCTATTAATCCATTCCAACATGTTCTGGTGTAACATTTGAGAATACTGTATTTGCTGATTTAATTTTTGCAGGTTTGGAGGATTTGATTAATATGTTGAATCTCTAGGTCAGCTTCCACCAGAAGTTGACTAAAGTGTCATGTTGGAGGACTTAGAAATTATCTAAGCATTTATAGGTCCTCCGACACAATTCTATGGTTAAGATCTGGCCAATTCAAATCTGAATTTTGCACTAAATCAGGTGTAACTCTTTTTTGTTTTGTGTTTCCAAAAGTTCAATTTCAAACCCATTTCACAACACATGGTCTTGCTTTTCAAGGTGAAAAAAGCTGGGATCTCATCAGGCATTTTCTCATTGAGTCCTCTGCCCGGGGAGTGCATCTTAAAGGGGCTGATGAAGAACCATATTTCGGTAGGATAGTCTTTCTTTTTCTTTCCATTCTAGTTAGTTTTAAATCTGAGAGGCTAAATCTGTGACATTGTTTTGTCTAATTAGTTTGCATGTCAAAAATATTGTATTTCAGATTCATTTGCTTTTTGGGAAGGTTCACAATTTTTAATTGTCCACCCTTTTTCCTCAGAAATCACTCATATAGGGCCCAAGCCCTTCTCCTCTCTCAATTTCAGTCTCCATGAAAATTGTCTTGCCACAACCCTGTAGCTACATATTCCTAAATAGTTAATATAAGATAAAAACAATTGAAAATAATTCTTCATTAAGCATTATTATATTCATTATCATTAACAGATAAATTCCCTCACTCATACTTGGAAAAGTATCATTAAATTGATATTTATATGTGTAAATGAAACTGCAATGCACTTAATTTTACTCTAATAAGATAATGTCTATGACCCTGATAAGTAATATAGAACAAGAAGGAACTCAATTGACTGTGAAACTGATAATGGACTTTCTCATTGACATTTCATTCTTTTGGCCATTAATTATAGTGCATTTAGGATGATTGAAGGCAATTCCACACAGTCACATAAACCTAGAATATCAAGGCAGAAAATCCCTAAATATCCGCTTTGAATTGGGTTATCTGAGTCCACACTGCCATATATTCTAGTTCAAAGCAAATAATGTGGGATTTTATTCAGCTGTGTGGGAGGGGCCTGAGATGTGTATGCATGTGTGTGTGTGTGTGTGTGTGTGTGTGTGTGTGTGTACACACACACACACACCGCAAAATGGCAGGGTGTTAGGAGCATTAAAATGTGCTTTGGACCTACATCAACCTCAAGGGGAATGTTTTCTTATCCTCGGCCCAAACCCAGAAAATATGTGAGGCCAGTAACACAATGAGGCTAGGCAGCTGGGACTCAAAGCAATGGGTACACATCCTTCCTCTTCTGCTCAGAGATGCATCGTAAATAATGGTAACCCACACATACCCCAAAACGATCAGAATCCTCCTCCAAAGAACCCCTTAATTGCAATTCTGCATCAACTTCCCAGAAGATGAAAAAGAAATACTTGGCATTATTGTAGAAATAAATAAATAAATTTATCACTGGCAGTTTGCATGAAAATTGTTTGGGCAGACATAGAGGAATGCAGAGGTTTCAAGAACACACCGTACCGACAACTTTCTCTGTCTCTTTTCTGCAGGAAGTCTTTCAGCATTTGTATATCAACATACTATTATGCCTTTGGCATTACCCTGTAAACTGGTCATCCCAAGTCAAGGTAAATTTCTATTGTTGTATGCCTTCAAGTCATATCTGATGCATGGCAAGCCTAAGGCAAACCTATCACAAGGCTGATTTGTAAAGAGAGGCCTTTACCTTTGGCCCTAAGGCTGAGAAAGTGTAACTTGCTTAAGGTCATCCAGCGGGTTTCCATGGCTGAGCAGGGATTCCAGAGTCATGGTCCAATGCTCAAATCACTAACCCAATTGTTTACTCTACCTAAATGTGGTATTATCAGTGCACTGGAAACAGACAATCTCCACTTAAAATGGAGAGAGTGGTGGGACTATTCGACAGAATTAATAGGACCTCACAATAAGTAGAGGAGATGGAGGAGAATGTTTGAAGGAGTTGGTGGTTGTTGGGTGTGCATTTGAGGAGATGAAAAGGCCAGGAAAAAAAAAAGAATTGCTTTCTGGCCTCTAAGTATTGTTAAGCCCATGGCTAGAAGGAACGAGAAATATTCTGTCATCTGAGAACATGATCAATGAGAGAAGATAGATCAGTGTTTCTCAACTTTCCTAATGCCGTGACCCCTTAACACAGTTCCTCATGTTGTGGTGACCCCCAACCATAAAATTATTTTCATTATTACTTCATAAATGTAATTTTGCTACTGTTATGAATCGTAATGTAAATATCCAATAAGCAGCAGGATGTATTTTCATTCACTGGACCAAATTTGGCACAAATACCCAATATGCCCAAATCTGGATACTAGTGGGGTTGGGGGAGGGACTGGTTTTATCATTTGAGAGTTGTACTTTCTGGGATGTATAGTTCATCTACAATCAAAGAGCATTTTGATTTCCACCAATGATGGAACTGAACCAATCTTGGCACACAGGACTCCCATGACCAACATAAAACACTAGCAGGGTTTGGTGGGCATGGATCTTGAGTTTGGGAGTTGTAGTTCACTTACATCTGTGGACTCAAGCAATGATGGATCAGGACCAAATTTGGCACAAATACTCAATATGCCCAAATGTGAACACTAGTGGAGTTTGGGGGAAATAGACCTGGGCATTTGGGAGTTGTAGTTGCTGGGATTTATAGTTCACCTACAATCAAAGAGCATTCTGAACCCCACCAACAATAGCATTGGACCTAACTTTCCAAATATAACCCAGATGACCAAAAGAAAATACTGTGTTTTCTGATGGTCTTTGGTGACTCCTCAGACACCCTCTCGTGACCCCCCCCCCCAGGGGTCCCGACCCCCAGGTTGAGAAACACTGAGATAGATAAAGGAATGAGAAATATCCTATTATCTGAGAACCTGATCAATGAGAGAAGATAGATCAGAAACTCTTCAGGCCTATCTTAGTATCCAGGAAGGTTCCCATGGGCAAGTTCACTTATAATCTGTTTCTATGTTATCTAGTTCTTCCGTGCTTAAGAACAATACGTTAAATTGTGTTTGAGGAGAAATGAGTGACTGATGCAAATACCAACTGAAGCATGACCTGGATTGATATTTGAATCCAAATCAATTTTACTGTCAACACACTGAGAAGAAGAAACCTATTTTTTTTTAAGGACTGCTTTTCTCCCTCTCTGTTTCTTCCTCTTTTCCCCTCTAACAAAAGGCTGGTGGCCTTTCCAGGAGATATCTTATTTGTATGTTAGGATTGCAGAGCTTGGAAAAATTACTTTTTCAAACTACAATTCCCAGAATCCCTCCAAATATTGCTAGTGGTCATGTTGGTTGTGTGATTTCAGGAACTGTAATATAAATGGCAGTCATAAGTTCTCGAATGATAAAATTTTGCCTGTGTGTTGTAGTTAGCATGCTCTGCTCTTCAGTCACCTGTGTCTTCATAGTTGTTTTCCTTTCACTTCTATTCCAGATTTTATTGGAGGTGAAGAGAAATCTGTAGCAGACACAGAAGCCACTCTTCCAGTTTCACAGAAGGCTGCTGGTGAGTGTTATAGGAGAAATTCATATTTATTCAAGGATTACTACTCGGCATTAATGTTACAAATGCACATCTGTTGTTCAGTTCCAATGTCATTTTGGTATTCTCTTACGGTGAAGAAACTTCATTTTGCTCCCATTCAAACTATAGTACACTGTACCTGATTGATATATTTCTCTCAACCCACCAAAGAACAGTATTCACTTCCGTGATTGTATTGTGCATAATATTGGGAAATGTATTTATTTTTAGCTGTGAATCACAGATTGCTTCAGGCAACATAACAAATGGCTTGTGCTTGGAAGGTTTTGTGGGGTTTCATGAATGGTGCAACCCCATGATGTCTCCTAATATGAATTCTCATAAGAATTGATAAAAAGAAATCCTTGTAGTCCCAGCTGTTCCCAGTTCTAAGATGTTGATGCAGCAGCTTTCTTGCTCAAAATCATTTAAAAAATCCAATCAAATCAGGTCTGTCTGAAGACCTGAGGGTCCAGATCCAGAGATCTGGAAGATCTAATTACAGTCCAGTTCCCTTGTGATGTCTTTTTCAATGTGATGCCTTTTTCAAATCTGCAGTGCAATTGAAGACCCATTCTGTCAAATGTGGATGAGGGAGAATGAGAGTCTTTTTTGAGTATGCTTTAACATTAGCTTTTAACATTTGATTCTATTTTGTTTATCTTAATGTTGTATCACTTCAGTGCAAAAAGGTATAGTCAAACCTCCACATTTGTTGAGGTTAAGGGCACAGGATTCCTGTGAAAGTGGAGAAAATGTGAATTCAAAAAACTACTACTTTTAACCTAAGACAACACATCACTAGGAATTTCTAGGACCTCCAGCACAACTTTATGATCAACTTCCACCAGAAATTGAGCATAGAATCACACCGGAGGACCTAAAGATTCCTAGAGAGAACATTTTAATCCATAAAAGTCAACTGTAAAGGGGGAAGACCTACTATATTTCTATTCCTGGTTTGTTTGCTGCTTGAGGTTGAGAATACCAATTTACTCACACTATAAAGTTTGAAGGGGGAGGGAAGATAGATTCATTTTCATCATTAAGATATTTTGCTGCCATAAATATAGTAAATAAATCAATAAAAATATAGTAAACAAATAAATAAATAATAGGAGAGCAAAACCACCCCTCATCTTACCCATCCAAGCTGAATTGTACGAGTATAATTGTACAAATATAATATAATATAACTCGTATAGTTCCCAAAACCAACCAAGATACTTTGCTATCTGAGGCAGAAAACTGAACAACACTTCTTCTTTCTGGTGGTAAAAATACAAGGACAACAAAATACAGGTATAGTTCAGTTAACAAAACAGATGTGTTCCTGGGGATAGTTTGTTTAACAAAAAAAAGATTGATACGAGGAGCAGAAATAATGTGGAGAGTATGGATAATTTTCCTGCACTACAAGAAAGAAAAGCATTTCCACATTTCAGAAAACTTTTTATTTATTATTAACAACATGCACATGTTAAATGAAATAAACAGGTCAGGAAAGCCTTCCAAGGGTTTTTTTTTTTTAAATGAACCTCTAGAAACCAATTAACGCATTTTCCAAAATGCGTAAAGACATGACTTTTCCTTTCTTCTGCTTCCACGCTTCCTATGATTTTTCTCCTGCTGGACAAATGTATAGATCAGTGGTTCTCAACCTGTGGGTCCCCAGATGTTTTTGGCCTTCAACTCCCAGAAATCCTAACAGCTGGTAAACTGGCTGGGATATCTGGGAGTTGTAAGCCAAAAACATATGGGGACTCCAGGTTGAGAACCACTGGTATAGGTCAATTAGTTTTTTATACAAAGTGTTACCTGGTGATACTCTCCCCCTTTATGAGTTTTGCTATTCATACATGATCTAGAAGGGATTCTGGACACAGCTGTTGTTTATCTTGTCTGATGTAGGCAGACACACACGGCAATGTTAGGATTGTCTAGAGTAGCATCCTGTTTCTTCTCAGCTCAAACTTTATGTCACTGTTTACTGCAAATATACTGCTGTAACACCGTGCTGAGAGTCTGTTTCTCCAGCTCTCCTTCACTATGCTCCTAGTGCTGATTTTGCTACAAAATTGTCCAGCTAGATAGAAGACAAGAGGAAAAGTGCAGAATTGGGCATGTACAAAATGAATTTATAAAAAGAAATTGCTTTGTAAGAAGCTATTTCAAATGTGGCATGCCTATAAATAACTAACAATTCACAGCTCATCCATGAAACCCTAGAATCTATTGATCAAGGTGGAGGTTGCCTCTTCCTGAATATCTTACACCACTGGACGGCATTGGCAGTTATAGTAACTAAGTGGACGGAATGAAGCATAGATGGATGAGTGTCCATCTGTCTGTCTTTGTTTATGTATGTATTTATTCATGTATTTATTTTCTTACCTTTTGGCCTTGCAGTATGCAACCTCTTGTACCTGCACTCAGTGAACATGGAGACTCTTACTGGCAAAGCAGCAGTTCAGAAAGCCGTGTCCTCCACTTTCAAGCAGGAGACTCTACCCACACCCACCATTGTCCACTTCAAAGTTACTGAGCAAGGAATAACCCTGACGGATATCCAGAGAAAGTAAGGAAGCTAAGCTGGAACACATTGGGAACTCTATTGAAATGGTGGGATGGTCAGAACGATGACATACCTTTGAATGTATGCAGGTGAAAAGGGACATGCTCTGTATGTTTAGCATGCCTATCATGACAATCACAATTCAAGGCTACACAACTACACATTGTTCAAGTGACAGCAGGTGGGTGGGTGTACCTTCAAGTCAACTGTTGACTTATGGCGACTTCATGAATCTAATAGGGTTTGCTTAGCCAAGGAAAACGCAAAGGTGGTTTGTCAGTTCTTTCCTCTGAAATACAGCCTGGCATTCATACTTCCTGCCATATCCTTTTACTCTGCAATAGCTCTTCATACAGTGGCTTCTGAAATTACTCATAGCCATAAACTGGTTGTAACTGTGCACATTGTTTGTTTTGTAACTCTAGAATGCATAATAAATGTTTAGTCTCTCAGGTGATCGGACTGTACATATTAGGGTTGCAACAACAAAAAAGACTGTAGTAGCAATGATTGGGAGTAACCTTTTTAAATTCAATGGGGTTGACTTCTAAGTTGATATGGACATTTATTATTTTATTAGATACCTTTATAACTGATCTTTGCTCTACTGATCTTTGCTCTACTGATACTGCCCTCACAAGGGCAGTATCCAAGGTGGAGGATACTTTATTTTCACAATGACCTGTGATTTAGAAGAAGGTATACATGTCAAACATAGAAGGAAGGAAGTACAGAATAGCTAGACCATGGGGCTTGGATTTCCCAAATTCCAGTCAAGTTGGGTACTTTATTAAATTGGCTTTGGGGTCTGTTGGGGAAATTCAGAGCCTTCATATGGTCTACAAACCACCTTTTCCACTCACTACTATAAACGAGAGAAAAAAGAAGTGTTGTGGCACCTTCAGGACAAAACGGTATTGTATTGTACTGTTAAATAATGATCTTTCATGGAGTGATTGCATGGAATGATGATGTACTTGCGAGCACATTTTGACAACAGTTTAAAATGTTCCCTACAGGGTGTTTTTCAGGCGGCACTATCCACTGGCTACCATCAGCTTTTGCAACATGGATCCTGAAAACCGAAAGTAAGTCCAAGATAATGTTTAGGACAGACCTGACAACTAGTATGAATGAGCAGCCACATATAAAAGTTTCCATGTTTTCCCACAGTTTCGTTTCCACACAATCAGTTCCCCTCTATGTTATTTTTTTGAATTTCTCAGCTCTCATATTCTTAGTTATCAGAGACTGAATGACATTACCTGCTGGAGTATTACTTCCAAAATAAAAAGTACCAAGACTAACTTTACCATTAGTGGGGTAACAACCTCAGATGGTAGATACTGGCAGACAGTGGTGGTTTTATGTATTGTTGAGGGCTTTCATGGCCAGGCCAGAATCACTAGGTTGTTGTTAGTTTTCTGGGCTGTATGGCCATGTTTCAGAAACATTCTCTCCTGATATTTCACCTGCATCTCTGGCAGGATCCTCAGAGGTTGTGTGGTCACAACCTCTGAGGATGCCTGCCATAGATGCAGGCAAAACGTCAGGAGAGAATGTTTCTGGAACATGGCCATACAGCCCGGAAAATTTACAACAAACCAATAATGGTTTTTCCTCAAGCTATTCTTCCTCAGCCCTTTTGGACACCGCAATGCCTTGTATCTTCCCTCTCCAAACACCTAGCCTGCTGCCTTCCATTGTACTGGAAGTCAATGCCACTTTGCCATTATTGGCATAAATGCCAACTGTTAATCCTCTTCACATCTCGACACAGAATGGAATGGGATGAGAGTTCCTTTGCCTCAGGTTGCAACTGTAACCTTGGGGACTTCCAACTATTTTCTGGCAAGCCATCATGTTATCTGTCTGCATCTAAACATATTTTCTGAGATTTCTGAGCAATCAATAGTTACTTCATGGTTAGTGGCAAACAAACAGGCACATGTTCACGGGAGTGGCAGGACTCATACATAGGAAACTTTCACATCATTGTCATTGCTCTTTTGCAGTCACCTACAAGTGGAAGTGAAATAGTGAATTTTGTGTTACCACTGCTATATTTCCCAGTGCAAACCCACAGTGCTTGTCTCATTACCTTCAGCCTTAAATAAACATACTAACTGTTAATTACGTTAGTCTCTAGAGCAGTGGTTCTCAACCTGTGGGTCCCCAGATATTTTGGCCTTCAACTCCCAAAAGTCATAACAGCTGGTAAACTAAATTGGATTTCTGGGAGTTGTAGGCCAAAACACCTGGGGACCCACAGGTTGGAAACCACTGCTCTAGAACAACAGACAGGCGGATGGCAATGCAGGAGGGGTGTTATGATGGCTAGACGGTACTTGACATAGGAAGAACTGTAAAAAGCACTCTCCATGTTTGGCTCCTTGTGTCTCCAATGTTTCTTGATCCAATGAAATATGTTTTCTTTGTTTGTTTATTACATTTGAATCTGTAATCATGGCTGCCCTGCTTCCCATGTTATCCTCAATACAACCTTCCAATGTAGTTGAGAGTATGAGAGTGCAACTAGATAAAAGTCATCAAGAGTTACGTAGGTAGAACCTGGGTCTCCCATGTCCCCAACCAACATTATAACCACTAGGTAACACTGGCTTTCAGACTCTTAAGGTATCTCTGGGCCTAGTCTCAATGGTTGAAGGAATCAGCTGCTGTTGATTTAGATTCTTCATCTGCTTCCCAGAAATGATTGTTTCTTTCATTTCCCAATGTCACTTCCTGTTTTTGTTGGAAATTTTAAAAATATATGTATATTGGTACTGCTGTGTACCCACAGGAAAATCTTTTTTTAAACTCCAGTTTTCATTTTGTACTCTTGCCTTCGCAATGGAACACCACTGGAATGATTTGCTACAGGACATGAATTTAAAAATAATGAAGGAAGTGACTATGTTGTGCAACATTAACACTACAACCGGGAAACGGTGGCACGTCACCACTCTTTCCCACCAGATGCTTTAGTAGCAGTGTACCGTCCATGCTGGATGGCACTTCAGTTGTGTTTGGCAGCAGACGTGTCTGAATTCTTCACATCAACTGAGAGAATGAATGGCAGCCATTTCAGATTTTAAAAGCCAGGCTTGGAAGCAACCCAAACCCTTGGCACTGATGATTTCCAGAAGCTTTTGAGGGTTGCCTGATGTTGGTCATAATCCAGCTTCCATGTATACAGCCTGGATGTTTTCAGTTTGTGTTTCATGGCAAACTGCATAGTTACAGGCCTTGCACCAACTTAAAAATCCAGACTGTTCAGACCCCCAGCTCTAAAGAATATGAAGGACAATCCATTTTGTACATTTCTCTAGATGTTCAAACCCTAGGGGTAGGCAAAGTGTGACCTATGCACCACATGCAGACCTTGAGGCTCCCAATGGGAAGTTCATGGAGCCCCTCTCCCTCCAAAATTTAACATTTGGGCAATTTTTAAACTCATAGGTCAAAGCTATTTCAAAATTCAGTGACTTTCCCCCACCCACAATGTCCCCACATAGCTTAAAGGACAAGGTCAGAAAAGCTTAAAGCCAACCAAAATTCAAACTATAAGCATGAGCCCTACTTTCTAAGATATAGTTATCATGCTTTTCTATGGGCAAGAAGATGCCGAATGGTAGATGGCATATGTTCTGTATCTCAAAAACTAGATCTGATAGGGGAAAACTGGTACCATCAGCAGGTCAAATATACCCAGAAGCAGTGCTAACATTCTAGGCATCCGAATTTTCATTGACCAGTGTAATTTTGTAAAGTTTAGACCAGTAGTTCCCAACATTTTTTGACCAAGGACCACTTTGACCAGGGACAACTTTGACCAGAGACCACTTTGACCACAGACCACTCTCCAACATTAGTACCAAAAGGGTTATGAATCAGTTTTTTGGTCAACTTTAGATTTGGTTGGTTATTTGGGGTGCTAATTCAGAAAAATGCATTGGATAGACCGCACCAGCTCTAGTTTCTGATACAGAATATATATTATCCAGTAGTCACCATCTGCTCATCCACAGAAAACCATATTTCATAATTTAGAGCTGATGTGGTAGTAGTAATCTTTCATGGGTAGTCAGTCTCTCCCCTTTCGACATCCCCATTGCCTCAAAACTATAACAGGGTTTTGTGAAACCAATTGTTTGTTACCACATGGTTTCGAGGCAACAGTGTAGTAATGGTGAGGCCACGGACCATATTTTCACTCTTGCGGACCACTGGTGGTCCACAGACCACAGGTTGGGAACCTCTGGTTTAGACTAAAATCCAAACTAGATGTAATGTTCCACAAACACGGTAGGAAGCAGATGTCACTTGAGGGAGCAATATGTTGAACCATGACAGCATCTTGAATGCTGAAAGTAGTAAAGCAAAGCACACATGAATTCATATTTTAATACAATATAGCCTCAAGGCTGTGAGGACAGGTTCAAAACATTCAAGGGGACCTGTACTAAAATAGAGGTGAGTGAACATACAGAGCACAAATGCTATTTTTATTAATCCTTCCCAAAATATTTTTGAAAGCACAACTTTCAAGAAAGATCAAGAATTCTGTAAAACCAAATCTTATAAAGGACTGATTAAAGTACGATATATTTTTTAAAGATTTCAAAAAAAAGCTTCTTTTGAACAAACAGAAATATATATATATATATATTGATTATTTAATGTTCCATTCAAAAAATAAGCCCAGTCTATAGAAAGTCTAACATTTCTTTTTTGTCTGTTTTTCTTTATTAGGTGGCAAAAATTTTCAAAAACCTCAAGGTGAGTTCTATGAATGGGACGAGTGACAAAGTCCTCTTGGAATATATGAAGGCTAGAGGATGTGATGGCAGCATTAGATATTGGTCAAGGGATATTTCTTTCAGGCAGTGCCCAGACAAACAGATTTGTAAAGGATCAGAAGGAAAAAAGTCAACAAGAGGCACGTTGTTTAAAGCCGTAAAAATAAATACCTTAATGGTAAACTAATCCCCACATCCTACTTCTGTTTACTTGAGTGCAAATCCAATGATTTTAATAGGACTAACTGGCAAATGCTTGCGCTAAGACTAAAACTTCTGTCCCATTTACTATTTATATTTTTCATTTATTTTGGATTTGGAACCTGATCTTTGCTTCTTCCCTCCTGGAGTTCTAAAACAAATTATATAACCAATTAATGAACGGTGGGAGGAAAGATGGCAGGTAAGTCAGATTGAATACAGTCTCCTTCCAAGGGAGAGTTGAGCTGTTGATTCCCTTTTGACAAAAGAAGGAAAGAGAAAGGAGAAGTCCTTCTGTGGCTGCTTGCCCCTTCCTGTGCCTGGCAGGAGAAGAATATATTGTGTAAATTAAGTGGATGGATATATCCTTAAACCACAAAGTGACACGCTATCCTGCCTAAACACAGATGTGAGCCATTGCTTCTTCCATGACTATAAAACGATCTCTTCAGGATACATTTCCTGTCTGTTTCTTGCCACAGGATCTTTGGTGTTGTTGCCAAGAGCCCATCTGATGCTGAGAATATTTGCCACCTCTTCGCCGAATATGACGCAGTACATCCGGCATCTCACGTCGTTGACTTTGTCAATAAACATCTACCTGCTGCTTTAGGTTCTGCTTAATGTAAGATCCTTGTGTTTCCTAGCTATGCCACCACCACCCTTGGTGTCTCAAGTGCACTGCCCTCTTACCTTTTTGAAGCTGCATTTTGAAAACTCCTAAGGCTTTGGGTAAACGTAAGCTGCTAGTTTGAGGGATGGAATAGAAACGTGGCTATTGAGAAGGGCACATTGTATGTCTGGAGTGAGCAAATTGTGGGCAGTGGGTTACATGTGCCCCCTCCCCCAAAGTCATTATGTAATCCTCCAAGTCTCCACATCTTCTGTGACTCATCTCCAAATTGGACGGTCTTATTTGCCCTCAAATAGCAGAGGCCAGTTGCATCCTCTGAAGGGTGCAACTGACCATTTTTCTTGATTTTTAGAAATGCAGACGCTAACCATTTTTAAGACAGGTCTTGTTTCAGCCCACATGAATATTTAAAAAGTGGCTGAACTCCCTGCTACAATCAATTCTTGGATAGACTTCCAGGAATATCCTATCTGGCCACTTCTAGGTCTCTCTTGTAAAGGAACTATCTGCCCACCAAGCACCAGGGAGCCCCCGGTGGCGCAGTGGGTTAAAGCACTGTGCCAGCAGGACTGAAGACCGACAGGTCGCAGGTTCGAATCCGGGGAGAGGCGGATGAGCTCCCTCTATTAGCTCCAGCTCCTCATGCGGGGACATGAGAGAAGCCTCCCACAAGGATGATAAAACATCAAAAATCATCCAGGCGTCCCCTGGGCAACGTCCTTGCAGACGGCCAATTCTCTCACAACAGGAGCGGTTGCTCCTGACACGACAAAAAAACAAAAACAAAAACAAGCACCAGGAACATAGAGATCCACATGCAGAGTCCAACTGACTTTTGTGGAGGTTCCCACTGAGCTTGCTCCTTTATATTATTCAGCTAGGATAACTAGCCAATTTCTGAGTTGTGTTGTTGTTGTTTTTTACCTTTTGGATCAATTTATCAAAAATGAATGTGTTTCTGCTAAAAGGGGATGTATTCTCGTCATGTGAGAAGTTGCATTACGTGCTGACACTGGAAGAAATCCATCAGCATTGTTATTCATTGTTATGTCAGAGGTATTGGAAAAATATCTATATCTTCTTTTCAATGTATGTTATCCATTTCCCTTGTGCATTTAATGTAATGGTGCAAAGTCTATACAATAAATGAATTATTTTGCAAGGTATCTCAAACAAATTTTATATATATCTTCTATATAAATAAAAATGTAATGTTCGTTTATGAGATTAACATAACTCAAAAACCACTGGATGAATTGACACCAAATTTGGACACAATACACCCATCAGGCCAACAAGTCACCATCACTCATTAAAAAACAGAAAAACACAGCTGAAGAGACTTAAAAAGCCAAAAAATAAAAAATACATTACAACACACACACATACACAAACACACATACTGTATACACATATACACAAAAATATACACACACAAAACACAGATACACAAACTGGGCCACAGCAACGCGTAGCAGGGGACGGCTAGTGTGTGTGTGTATAGCCTGTGCAATCAATGAAAAATGTTTCAATACTCAATACTAAATTAGGGAGAGATGGATAATCATTTCTGAAGTATTTCTAAAACATCATTAGGGGTCTGTATTCTAACAATAACAATATAGTGAATTCTTTGTTACTTTTTTAAAGTAATTGTGCAAGGGGGAGGAAACACACAGCCAAATTACCCCCAACAGACACCCATCCAGGCTTTGGAATAACAATAACAACAACAATAATAGGAAACCTACTATTGCACGGATTTGTTTTGGACGTCTTCCTTCAGTTTGTTCGGCTGGTTTGGAAGCCCATAATGGCATGGGCTCCGCTGCCATGTTTTTTCCTGGCCATAACAGAGCAGTGGCTGTTGAAAACCAGCTACCTTCAATTACACGTTGAGTGTGGAGAGGGAGGCAGCCGCTAGAAGGAAAAAGATCCCAGGAAGCAAGGCTTTTTCTTTAGCCCTTCCTTTAAATCCAGATCTCCTCTAAAGACAAGGGAAAGAATATTGATGTCTTAACTCTGATGCTTTTAATATAGGTCTTAATGAAAGATATGAGGACAAATAGTTCCTAAAATGACAAGAAGAGGAGCCTGGGAAGTCCCCCCACCCCCATTGCCACCAATGGGCCAGATAGAAAATGAAACTTTCAGCTTCCCAGATCCAAAACTGAATTCTGTCTTCCCAAATTTAGGAGGCTCCCGAAAAAAACAAATCAGGATTTTCATCGAAATCAGGACACCAAAACAGATCACAGTTTACCCGGATTGTACAAGCCTACCTATTAGGTAAACTTTGGAGTTACTGCCTCTCAACTTTGCCTACCTCACAGGGTTGATTCAACTCCCTACAATCCCTTTTTATCTTGAAATCCCTTTAGAGAACAAACAGGAGTCCCTCCCCCCCCCCCAACAAAACTTTCAGGGAGGAGGAGGAGGTGGAGGAGCAGGAGGAGGAGGCAACAGTGGCACAAGGCGGTAAGCAGAATTATGGAAAATGAAGTTTGGGGAGGCAAGGACCCCTGTGGCAGATAATTCAAACGGCCCCGCCCTAAACTACATTTCCCAGAATTGTGCTTGTTGCTTGTGTTAAAGTGCTTGGGTTTTCTCTCTCCAAGTTGGAGAAGTTACTTTTAAAATGGAGGTGCAGGTTTGCCTCCAGATCAGCAGGGCTTGGGTTTTCCCTTTCCAAGTTAGAGAAGTTGCTTTTAAAATGCAAGTGTTGCATTGCTTCTAGGTCGGCAGTGTCAGAGAATTCAAAAAGTCCTGCCCTAAACTACATTTCCCAGAATTCTGCTCGCTTTCTGTGTTAAAGCCTCAATGTGAGTGTGGTCTCTGCCTCACTCTATGGGCCGGCCATGTGCCAGAGGGGATTTTTCCTTGCCCGGCCATCCAGCCAAGCATCGCTCCCCACCTCTACCCTTGCCTTACTCTTTGGGGAAAGAGCAGGGCTACTCCCTCTACTCCAGCCTCACCATCCTCCTTTAGGTCCTTTGGGGGAACCAAACCCAGCCCTTTTGGGGGAGAAGCAGTGCCTGCGATGGAGACATGCAGCCATTTACGAGACTTACATAACTCATCCAAAAGTCATAGATCAGTGTTTTGAATCTTAAGTTTTCTGGCTGGGAATCCCTCATATTTCTTAATATCGTGTCATATGTATGAATCTTACAAAATACATCCAAAAAACGAATTACAAACTAAGTTTTGCACACCCCTAGTGTGTGTGTGTGTGTGTGTGTGTGTGTAGAGGGGGTTGGGTCCTTTTCAAATGATAATCTCGTTGTGATAAGATTCTGAGATCTCTGGTTCTCCCTAACTCCCATCACTGTACATTGTTCTGGAGGATTTTGACCACAGCAAAATATACTGGTATAAAATTGCTCCAGAATACTTTATTTTCCCCTCCTGTTTTGCATTCAGGTAGTAAAAGTCCTTGAACTAGGTTGCTGCCTAATAGTCCTGACCCACAGAGGGTGCCAAATAGTAGCTTTTGGTTGTATTCTACTTTCACTCACCATTCTCAGTTTAGAAAGGTCTCCTCCTTGCTGGCACAGCCCTGTTTTGATTAAAGCTAAAACGTAGCTCCCTCTTGTTAATGTTCAAAGTTGACTTTTTATTTCCTTTTATATAAAAAATAATAATTCCTGGCATGTTACAACCCAAGTCTCTGAGGGCATCTGGGAAAGCATCTTATGCAATCCATGAACAAGGCTCCGCTTTTTAATTTACTCCTATTTTGGACAATTGTATCCCATAAAACCATTTTTATAATCATACAGGGAACTATGAAGAGAGGGAAATGTTTTGGCTTCCCGGTTATCAAAGGAATCGGATGCTTTTTAGTCCAGCTGTTTTTCCTCCTCCTTTTCTTTTTTGTTATATTCTCCCCCTCCTTTTTATTACTTGAATTATAGTTCCTCCTCCCCCTCTTTAACGTTTGGCCACATAGAAAGTGGGGGGCTAGTAGGAGATTGTATTATTATTGTTGTTATTATTATTATTAAGCTTTGCTTTTCCCAAAAATCTTCCAAATACTTCACACATATAAAATGGGGTGAGCAATTTTAGATTATCTTTCATTATTCCTCATCTCATAGGCCAAAGTGTCACTTCCAAAATAACTTTAAAGTGACCCAGTATCACTTCTGGTTTCAGTTGGAGACAAAAAAATTCCCCAATTTCCCCCTTTTTTCAAGGCTTGAGGAAATGGACAAAGGAAACCAAACAACCTACCACATTTTTTACACATCTGAGAAGTTGGATACTTTTACAAATTGGCTTTGGGATCTGCCGGGGAAATTCAGAGTCTTCATATGGACTGCAAACCACCCTTTCCATCCACTGCCCTTGCGCTGTGCTACTCTGCTGCTGAGTATGCATGCCCAGTGTGGAACACATCTCACCACACTAAAACAGTGGATGTGGCTCTGAATGAGACATGCCGCATTATCACGGGGTTTCTGCGACCTACACCACTGGAGAAATTACACTGCTTAGCCGGTATTGCACCACCTGACATCCGCCGGGAAATAGCAGCCAATAGTGAAAGGACCAAGGCAGAGACATCGCCAGCTCATCCCCTGTTTGGGTATCAGCCAGCACATCAACAACTTAAATCTAGAAATGGTTTTCTAAGATCTACAGAGACACTCGCTGGAACACCTCAGCTAGCAAGAGTCCAAAAGTGGCAGGCTCAAACCCAGCACTTCAACCAATGGCTGATACCAAATGAGAGACTCCCTCCTGGGCACACAGAAGACTGGGCGAATTGGAAGGCATTGAACAGACTGCACTCTGGCACCACGAAATGCAGAGCCAACCTTAAGAAATGGGGTTACAAAGTGGAATCCTCGACATGCGAGTGTGGAGAAGAAAACCACTGACCACCTGCTGCAATGCAACCTGAGCCCTGCCACATGCACAATGGAGGACCTTCTTGCAGCAACACCGGAAGCACTCCAAGTGGCCAGATACTGGTCAAAGGACATTTAACCAACTATCAAACTCACAAGTTTTGTATTTGTCTGTTTGTTTGCTTTGTTCTGTTAGAAATGTAATATAATAGACTGGTTGCTCTGACACGACAAATAAATAAATCCACTACTCTAAACAAAAGAAAAAAAGAAGTGTGGTGCTGCCTTCAGGACAAAACAACAGGCATATTCTCATTGACAAAGCCTCCGAGAAAGAAGCTCTTTTTCACACAGTCTTTATTATGCCTGTCTGACCTCTCTCTATACATCCTGATCCTCTAACTACTAGGAAGTTTAGTAGTAGTTGTAGTATTAAATTATTTTTATATTCCACTTTTAACTCTGTGATTGAGACAAAAATTGCTCACAGCCTTTAAAATGCAATTCAAAGTCTACAAAATATTAAGATAGAATTAAATATGCAAAACAGTTAAAACAATTTTAGAAGTTTCAGCACTGGATCCAAAAAATTAGGGCTATTCCTAACTTTTTATTTCTGTTCTCACCCACTAATCTTAATTGATCAGTTAAAGACTTCACATGTTGTAGAAAATCATCCAGACTTTCTTCAGAATCTATTTTAGCTGTGAACAGCTCATGATACATCAACATGCTTTCATCAAAAGAACTCATGCTGTGGATTTTCTCCAGATGTGCAAGTGTGGCCTTTGCCATTGCATCCTTCTTAACATATTCAAACATTTTCTCAGATAAGGAATTTGCAATCAATGCTCTGTCAATTTCTGTCCATGCTTCATACTCATCATCATCAGCTTGGGGTAGATCTTGTTGACAGACCTTGGTTTGCTTTGAATCCACAAGTAGCTCAAAACTCTTCTTCTAAGTCAGATAGTTAGACCCATTTTCTGTGAGTCTTGAAAAATTCAGGAACTCTTGTCTCCTTTCTATTCTTTGCATCTTTCCAAAAATGAAGATGCACCGAAATTCAAAAACTCCAAAAAAATAAAATAAAAGGGGCCTCGCTGCTCTTTTTAGCCTTTTTATTTTTATTTCGAGCTCTTTCTTTCAACACACAACCTGTCTGAGCACATAGTCTGGGCCCATTTTTGTTAGGGAAAACTACCCAAAAATACAGCAGAGCATCCAAAATGCAATCAGGATACAGCAAGAAGAGCATGAAGTGCCATGTGATGTGGCGGTAAAGAATTAAGAGATTAGGAGGCAAAGAT